TTGATAATTTTCATACATATTCTTACTAAAATAAAAGAGTTTAAATAGAATTAGCCTACACCTGGCATTATGCTCATTCCAGAAGCTGTAGGTTGCCAAATAAAAATCCCTGAGCCAGGTTTGAGATGCTTCTCTTCAAGATATTGATCAGAGGTATAGTGAAGATCCTCAAAACAGTGAGGATGATTTTCGTTGTTCTTGGTTGCTGTAGAGGTTTAAATGAGAATGTACCCCAGATGTTCAAGTGTTTGAATACTTGGCCCCAGTTGCTCTCACTGTACATATTGGAGGTGTATGCTTGCTGAAAAAAAAAAGTATGTTACTGTGGGTAAGCTTTGAGATTTCAAAGCTGTATATCATTCGATTTTTTTTCTTTCCTTCCTACATGCAGTTCAAGAATTGAGCTCTCACCTGCTGCTCCAACCACCATGCCTTCTCTCCACCAACATGGATTCTAACCTTGACTTATAAGTCAAAATAAACCCTTTCCGTAAACTGCTTGTGGTCATGATGTTTATCGCAAATATTGTATGCAAACCAAGACAGTTTCCAACCAGATTCTTATGGTGAGATGCAAATTCTATAGACACTACCTACATTTGTAAAAGAAATGTGGAGCAATCAAGTCAATATTGACAAGAGAGAAGGGAGACCCTGGTGTCTAGTTCCCTGTACAGAATGATGTATGAGCTGAAAAGGAGTGAAGAAAAATGGACATTCTTACCAAGCTATGAAACCTGTGTATTGCAATAATGACATATATTAGTGCATCCTTCAGACCTCATTGGAAATGTTTCCTTTTACAGTGGATGGCGGCTGAGGCAGAGACTTACAAATGGCGAAAGTGCCGAGAAAAAGGGTTAGTTCTATGTCAATCACAGATAGGGAATCTGTATCATATCTCATTTGCAAGGTTCAGGGAACATTACAGAAGAGGAGGCAGATAATTCATAAGAACAAAGGGTGTTTATTGTATTTTATTTTTTGAGAATTGCCTGTTTACTTCATTAGTCCAATTTGGATGGGGTTATCAGATTTCTTTTTGATTAATTGGTTGGTTGTACTTTTAGTTCTTTATTTTAGATAATAATTCTTTGTTGAATATATAAGTACCACTTTTCTGAGGACTCAGCTACTCCTTAGTTTGAATCTTTGAGCAACTTCCTCTTACAAAGTCTCAGAGAATCTCCTATTGCTACATAATGTGGGATCATATACTGTGCCCCAAGACTGGCTGATCAGCCTGTCTTCAATAAGCAAAATTTAAAGTAAAAAATCAGAAAATGAAAATTTTATTCAATGTGGCCACTTTGTAAAGTGGGACAATTATACTCATCGAACTATGAGTCTTGTGAAGTCCTGAAATGAGATTAAAGTGTATAAACTGGAAAAAAACTATGCATACTAAATGGTTCTGCTCAAGATGTGGTCCTGTCTACTATTGTCGCTAGATGACTGCACTTTTAGAATCCAAGCTGCTTCCACTCCTTCTCCCAGCATGCATTATCCTGAAACCCCCCTCTCCCAGGGATTAATTGTTGCAATAGCTGAAAATCAGAGGAACACAAGTGTCTCTTAAGTATATCTTCATCCATGTTGACTATACCATGTTGTACCCAAAACAAGGAACTTATGAGACATCTTCATCACTTCAAGCAGGGAGGTTTTTGTATAGGGCTCTATCACTATGGGAGGAGATTCTAGATGTTGCTGACAGTAATAACCACCCACATCCTCAGCCTCCACTCCACTGATTTTTAGAGTGAAATATGTTCCTGACCCATTGCCACAGAACCTGCTTGGGACTCTTGAGGCAAGAGTAGACATCCAATAGATCAGGAGCTGAGGAGACTGGCCTGGTCTCTGCAGGTACCAATTCAAGTAAGTTTTGGCATCGCTATGTAGGAGACTCTTACTAGACCTGCAGGAGATGGAAGCTGATTCTCCAAGAGTGACAGGATTGGAGAGTGCAGGTTGGTTCATCACTATATCCCCACTGGCTCCTGAAATAACAGAAATGAAAGGTTATGTACAAACAATTTAATACTATAAAATAATTTTTCCTTCCTCTATTTTCTACTTACTGTGTTTTTTTTTACTTTTACTTATATTCTAAAAATTTTAACATGAAATACCTATGTAGAGAGAGCAGAGAGACTCCTTAGAAATCACCTGAACCATCTTCATTGGTACTTGGCAAAATTGCCACAAGAGCACGGATCCTCCTCTTTTTACCCACTAAACTTCACAAGCACATTCCTGGAGAATAATACTGGCAATCTCACACATGGACAGAACATGTATCTGTATTATTGGGGTCCCTGAAATCCCAATTACCCCCACAATCTCCTTCTTCATCTTTCTTTCTCCTTACCAGGGATCCAGAACACAAGCAGCCCCAGGAGCTGAGAAGCATACCTCATTCTGATAACTTGGTTTGAAGAGTCCTGAATAATGAGGGCAGAAAGAGGGGCTAGCTTTTGTCCTGGACCTGCAAGGAGAGGTCCTCCCTAAGGAGCAATATGCAAATCATGAGGTTACTACAGCTGTGCGAAAAGAACCAAAGGACAGAAAAGACCAGTCTTAAGAGTGAAGAGACAGGCCAGGCTGGTGGCACACACGTTTAATCCCAGCACCCAGTAGGCAGAGGCAGGTGGATCTCTGTAAGTTTGAGGCCAGCCTGGGCTTCAGAATGAGTTCGAGGAAATGTGCCAAAGCTACACAGAGAAAGCCTGTCTCAAAAAAAGAAAAATGAAGAGACCAAAGATGTCTCCTTTGTTTGCAGAAAAATGGATACAATCTCTGGTGCCTATAGCAGAAGAAAGATAGACTCCACTGTGAAAGCTTGGATCTGTGTGAATGGAGACATACATAGTCTAAATGCCCAGAACATGCCAAGACAGCACCAAAGAACCAAAACAATCTTTTTAACATTCTTTGGTTTTACTAATGTTTTCAGCAGAGCATCTTGCTGTCTAAGCCTATCTGATTTTGTTTATTTGCTTTGTTTGTTTGATTTTGTCAGAATCTGATAAAGAAAACTAAAGAGACCAGCAATCTTCATTTTTTCAATGGATACCTCCAATTTAGTCTCTATCTATGCATATCTTAATAACAAAAAATACTGCATTTCATTTAACTCATGCCATATCATTTTTATAACTGGAAAATGTAAAAGAAGTTTACAAAAGAAATAAAATAGCCTTGAATAAGATAAAGACTTTCCTGTGTAGAATGTTCAATAGTGAAGGTTTGTCATATAACAAAGGAGGAAGGAGAATCTCCAAAGTGGTGGAGATTCATGGAGGAAATGGGGGAGTTCATCCTTAGGAGGCAATGACAAGATTAAATTTGAGCGGTCAT